CATTACACACCCCGTATAATCTATTATAAATGTGAACTACATGCTCTCACGACCTTTAAAGGCAACAAACCAACATTCCCACGTGGCCCTTGAAGGCCGTATGATCACTCCCTCTTAGGCTCTCCCAAGCTTATCCCATTTACATCCGTGAAAAATACATTTGCCACCATTTCTTTTGTCAAAGGATCTGCTACCAAACCCTCTGTGGGGAGATAAGCCCCCTCAATCCTTCTTGGTTGGATCTCATTACAATTATGGTAACAGTTCGCCTTAATGTGCCTTGACTTCCTATAAAATAGTGGCTCTTTGGTCTCACAAATTATTGTCTAATTGTCGCAGAAGATTCTTCCACAAGGGCGCTTCATTGGATCAAATCTTAATTGATTCAGGACCTTCTTCAACCAGACCACTTCTTTAGCTACGATCAGGACCTTCTTCAACGAAACTGCTTCTTTAGCTACAAGACAACAAGCCACCTACTATGACTCCATATTTGATAGTGCAACGATATCCTGTTTTCCTGAGCACCAGGAAACTACTCCGTTAACAAGAGAGAAGATATAATCGGATGTAGACTTCATCTCATTCCCTGATAGTTTGCATCTGCATATCCTTATATCTGTATATCCGAGCTTCCTCCATAAGTTGAGAACATGACTTAACCATTCCCTTTAAATACTGCAAAACTCTTTTGATTGACCTCTAGGGCTACAGGTTTGGATTACTTTGGAACCTGGTAACCACACTAGCAAATGTAAGTCTGGTATTGTCCTTGATGTAGCATACATTAGTGACCCATCTGCATTTCTATAAGGGCTTCTTTGAATGGCATCGCTTTCTTCTAGAGTTGTGGTAGACATGGTTTGGCTTAATTTAGTCTTCTTATCAATGGGAGTTAATATGAGCTGTTAATTGTCCATTTCAAATCTTTCTAGCATTTTCTTACAATATGTTTCTTGATATAATTGAATAGTTCTTGCTCTTCTATTTCTCGTGATCTTAATTCCCAAAACATATGATGCTTCTCCAAGACTTTCATATCAAAATGCTATGACAAGAAAACGTTGGTTTCCAATACGAGTCATCGAACTTCAGGCAACTAACATGTCATCCACATAACTCTCACTGACCTTGATATACACACAATAATCGTCTTGGTTAGGCACAAAACTAGCTTTTAATAAGGTCTCCTGAAACTTAATGTACCACTGCCTCGATGCATGTTTAAGGCCACAAAAGGATTTCCTAAGTTTACACACCAAGGTTTCTTTTGACTTTTTTATGAAGCCTTATTTTTGTTTCATATAACTTTCTTCCTGTATTTCCCCTTTTAGAAATGCATTCTTAACATCTATCTGGTGGAGCTCGAAGCTAAAATGGGCTGCTATGGCCATTAGGATCCTAATGGAGGGGAACTTAGTTGTAGGGGAGAAGGTCTCATCGCAATCTATTCCTTCTTTCTGGTTAAACCTTTTAGCTACCAGTCTAGCTGTGTATTTTTCTAATTTCCCTTCCGAGTTCAATTTCTTCTTATAAATCCACTTGCAGCCTATGAGTTTTCTATCAAGAAGGAGGTTTACTGAGCCCCAGACATGGTTTTGTTTGATTGAGTTAAGTTCATCTATCATGGGAACCACTATGGCTTTTCATGATGGGTTATGGCTTCTTGATAGGAACACGGTTTATGTAGGGATTCTTCTTCAATCATCTCTTAATATTCTCCTATGTCGGTGTATAATTTGGGTTTTTTCCTCAGACGAGGTGGTTTGAGATCTTGGGCTTGACTCATGCACTCCCTATCTCTTAAAGGTCAACTTGTTTATAAGTGCACAACCCTCTAAAAACCCTTCCTCAAGGAAATGGGCATCCCTTCTCTTAAGGGCAGCCCTTATGTCAAGATTGTAAAACCGAGATCCCTAACCATGTGTTGAGTATCCTATAAAGATAGACTTAACATTTTAGATTTTAGTTTTGTCTTATTTTGATGGAATATTAGGACATGGGGAGAGCATCCCTACACTCTTAGGTGGTCAAGGGACAAAGCACGACTAGTGAAAATCTCATGAGGAATTATTGGGATAGCCTTTATGGGAATCTGGTTAAGAATGTAACCGGATGTCAAGCCTGCCTCTTCTCAGAAATCTAGGGAGAGTTCAGCATATTCCATCATGCTCCTTACCATTTCTACCAAGGTCCTATTTCATCTCTTGGCTACCCCATTTTTGCGGAGGAGTATACCCATTTTTGCGGAGGAGTATACAACATAATATATTAAGGAATGAAACCATGCTCAGTACAAAACTTCAGAAAATCGTGAGGAATATTCTCCACCCTTATCGGTTCTAAGTAGTATAATTTTTTAGTTTGTTTGGGTTTTTATATGCTTCCAAACTGTCTAGCGCTTCTGACTTTTCCCATAGCAATTATATATGGCCAAAACAGGAGTGGTCATTAATGAAAGTGATAAAATACTTCTTGCAGCCCTTAGTGGCTAAATTCATAGGTCCACAAATACCGATATGGACAAGTTCTAAAATGCCAGTAGCTTTCTGATCTTTCGCATAGTATTTCTTAACCAGTTTTCCTTGAACTCATTATTGACGAACTGTGGTTAAGTCTCTATTAGATGTTTCAATAATCCCTTTGTCTTGTGCTTTATTTGCCCCAATGTCATATATAATATGTATGCATCATCATCACCATCATAACACGAGATATAAGGAATGAAATTTTTTATTGCAGCTGAAAAGAAGCCTTCTACAAAAAGACCATTCATAAGCCTTAGCGAATCTTGCGACCTCCATCTTATTGCCAGTGAAAATGGTGGAATATCTGTCCTTAGCCAATCTTGCGACCGAAACGAAACTCTTCCTTATATTAGGAGAATAAAGAGTTTGCTTTAGGGAGTTTGCTTTAGGATTATACTTTTGCCATTTTCCAATTGAAGGACTTAATCACCGATACCCAAAATTTCAGTTTTCTAGTTCCCACCCATAAAGATATGTTGATCTTTAAGGGTTTGCAAGCATAGTCTTAAGGACTCCACAAGCATGCTCCTTATCGCCCTTGGGATTCTCATTCTTGGGTCCTTTGTAGTATTTGCAGTGTGCCCGAATTTCTTACAATTATAGCACTGGGTATTCTTTAAATCGCTCAAGAAATTCTTTAAATTTCTTACAATTATAGCATTGTGTATTCTTTAAATCTTTTTTCTTAGGCCTATTGTCTCCTTTTTTATTCTCATTAATCTTATTCTTGTTCTTGCCCTTACCCTTCTTTTTCTTGAGTGAAGTAGGATTGGGTTTTAGATTTACCAGTTTTATGGATTCATTCACAACTGAAGTATTAAGAGTCTTCCCCTTTTCTTCTTTAGCTTTGAGCTTGGTAATGATCTCGTCCGGCTTTGGCTTGCAGTGAGGACTGAAATGAAGGCTTCCCATGAGCTTGGCATAGAATTCAGCAAGTGGCGCACTTGCATATTTTCATCTGGCTTTATCTGTGTCGCTTCGAGTGCACGGACTAGATCTCTGAACTGCTGAATGAGTTCAACTAATTCCTCCTTTCATTTTGAGATTTGAATATTGCTTTATAGCAAGTTTCTTTCTTGTAAGGGAACGAGTGACATAATCAGCCTCAAGTTTTTCATGAATTTCTTTTGCTATCTTTAAGGGCTCATGGTCAAGGGCATGGGAGTCAACCATGGCCATTGCTCAGTTGTTTTTGTGCTCCCACTGAGCATAAGCATCCCGTGTGGACTACCTTTCATAAACATTTTCTCTCGGCACAGGTGGGGGGTTCTTAGTAAGCATCTGGCTAAGTTCCTCTTCGAAGAGGACACAAACAATTTTACTCTGCCAATTAACATGGCTCTTCCTGACAAATTTTTCAGACTAAATAAGCTCAGCCATAAAACTTTTGGCTGCCTTATTTCTCGACTCAAAAAATAAAAGATAAACAACTAGACTATGCAGTAAAATATGAAAGTTCTGAATCCAATGAAAGATGTTGCTATGTGGGATTCAAGACCATAAAATCAAACGAAAATTCTTCTTTTCTTTGTTGTTGAATTTGAATTCCACTTACAAGTGCCACAATGCACTAGTATAAACCAGAAATTAGATTCCGAAATACAACTTAGGACACTTACTTTTACTATCAGAGTAAATAAACACAATCCAGGAATAAAAAAGAAGCTTTCACTAACAATTTAGGTACAAATAATGTTCCTTTAAGAGCAAGCTAAGCACACGTCATTACAGTACAAAGGGGACTCTTTCTATGCACATGTACACATTTCCATTTTTAGGGTTGCTTCCCAGTAGTGTGGCTGTCATATGTACATGTGCAGAAGTTTGTTGAGGAATTTGCTCTCGCTGTCATAGGCTTATGGACACAGGAAACTACATAGCTCTCTTGGTTTACAATCCATCACTGGGCATGTCTCTGACCTAGTCAAGGGATGATTGTAAACCCTTTTTGGTTATGCTACATGTCCAAGGTAAGATGTTGGACATGATCAGGGCAACCCTTGGTCAATCAAACATCGTACACCCCCACTGAAGTGTATAATCCACTATAAATGTTAGTTATATGCTCTCATGGCCTTTAAAGGCCAAAGACCCCAACAGATACATGTTTCAAAGAAAGTAATACAAGTAATTTACTAATGAAAAATTACAACTCTGTCCTTGCATTTTAATTTTACAACTCGCCTTGAAGTATATAATTGGATATCTTAGTCCTTATTTGTTTTGGATGTGTGACAGCATGGAATATAGAGTGTTCTTGATTCTTAGTTTCTTTGAACAATCCTTGTGATAATAAGGGGTTGATTACAATGAAACAAATTTGTGCGGAATGTCATCCAATCTGCTGTGAGATAAATTATTCTTGACAATATAAAAGCATATGATCAGGTTTAGTTTTTTCTTGTTGAATATAATGCTGAATCTATTTTGCATTTTGAAGGATTATTAATTGATATCTTACTTGTACATTAGGTTATTAAATGGCAACGCTTTGGAAGGACAAGTCCCTAGAGCACTGTACTCTATTGGTGTACATGGAGGACTAATTGAGTATGTTTTTCTTCATATCTTCATAGTTCTTTTAGTTACTGGTTTTTTATTTTTTGGATTTCTTTTGCATACAATGAACTATAAGAAAATTAAGATTGATTATAGTCCTACTATTGCTAAAGAGTAATGCAACTTGTTTTTTTCAATAGTAGACTATCAATGCATTGTTTGCTTCCAAAGATTTGCGGCATCTGTTTGGGTTTCGGAAAGTCAATGTTGGACCATATTTTCTTCCTAGTACATTGTCCAAAGAAGAAAGGATAGGCCAAAGTTCTTAGGAAAAGTCTCTCGTCTTTTTTTGGAAGATGTTGACTGTGCTTTAGAGAAGTCTCTTGTCAATTTATAAATTACTGAAAAGTTTAATGATCAGAAAATTTTTTTCTGAAGAGTATACAAAATATGGGCAGTGAACATCGTTAAAATACAACACTCTAGTTGATTGAGAATCAAAAGAGTGTTAGGAAGATCAAGAATTAGGAGAAAGGAGCATATATGTGGAGAGAGAGAGAGAGAGAGGAAAAGAGAGGGTGACGTTATGGCCCCTTGACGTCCATGCCTCTGTTTTATGTATTGTTATTAACATTAAAAAATGAAAGTACAAAAATACCCCTTAAGTAAGAAAAATGACAAAACTGACCACAAGGACTTAAAATAAAAAACATAGAGGCAAAACTTGATTATTCACAAGACTCACCCTCAAGTTGGTGCGTAAATACTTGTTATGCCCAGCTTGCTCAACATAAAGTTTTAGTCGAGGTTCCCCCACGGCTTTGGTATGAATGTCTGTTAGCTAGTCTTCAATTTGAACATATGGAAGACAAATTTCCTTGGTAGGAACCCTTTTGCAAATCAAATGACGAACCTCTTCTATATGCTTTGTTCTATCATATTGGACCGGATTATGGGCTATACTGATGGCTATCTTGTTGTCACAGTACAAAGACAAAAAACCAAGTTCTTGTAAGAGAATTTTTAGCCAGAGTAATTCACATGCACCATGAGCCATTGATATATACTCAGCTTCTGCACTTGATCTTGCTAGTACTGATTGTTTTTTACTCCTCCAAGTCACAAGATTCCTTACCCTGATGTCAAACTTCGATCTATAATAGAACCAGCCCAGTCTTCATTTGTATAGGCTTCAACCTCTAAATTCCCATGATTAGCAAACAACAATCCTCTCTCGGGTGATGGTTTTAGGTACATGAGTATTCGAATAGCAGCCTCAAGTTGGATAGTTCGTGGGCAATGCATAAATTGACTAATCACCCCAACAACATATGCAGTGTCTGGATGTGTAAGTGAAAGATATATTAGTTGACCAACTAATCTTTGAAACATACCCACGTCCTTGAGAGCTTCTCCCCTTTTGTCATCAAGCTTATGATTTTATTCTACGTGTGTGTCTGCTGGTTTCGCCCCATGCTTTCCTGTTCCTTAAGTAGATCCAATAGATATTTCCTTTGAGAGATGAAAATTTCTCTTTTTGACCTTGCTGCTTCTATTCTAAGAAAGAATTTAGTGGGCCTAGGTTGTCGATTTCAAATTCTCTCGCCAAAAAAGCCTCAAGTTGCTGAATTTCCTCAGAACAATTACTATTACAATAAAATATCATCCACATATACAATTAGGGTTGTGGTGCTGGTCTTGGTATGTTGAATAAAGAAGGTACGGTCAGTATGACTTCGAGTATAGCTGATTCTTTGGACAACCCTACAAAACCTGTCAAACCAAGCCCGAGGAGATTGCTTTAGTCCATAGATCGCCTTTCTCAGTCTAAACACTTTCCCTTCACATCCACGTGCACAAAACCCAGGTGGAGGTATACACTTTTTTTAATTCCCCCCAAATGAATGCCTTCTTGACATCCAACTGACGCAAGGGCAACTCCATGTTGTTCACTAAAGACAAAAGTACTCGAATGGAATTCATTTTAGCTACCGGAGCAAATGTTTCCTGGTAGTCTATTCCACAAGTCTGAGTGAACCCCTTGGCAACTAGTCTTGCTTTGTACCTGTCAATGTTACCATAGCTTTGTGCTTTATAGTGTACACCCATTTACAACCAACTAACTTCTTTCCTTTGGGAAGGTTTGCCGTCTCCTGCCCTCATCTCCTCACACATAGCATTCTTCTACTTAGGATGAGCTAAGGCTTTTGTAACACGGGAAGGGATGGAAACAGAAGACAAAGAGAACACGAAAGCATGGTAGGAAGGAGACAAGGATTCATAAGACACTAAAGTGCTAATTGGGTGAGTAGTACAACTACATTTACCTTTCCGTACAGCAATGGATAGATCCAATTGTTCAGAGTGAGAATCAATGAAAGCAGAATCATGATTACCTGGAGTAGAGGTATGAGAATAATTGCAAGGCATGTCAGCTACGGTGGTCTCCACTTCTATTTGTTTCCACCAAGTATACCCTTTAATTCCCATTCTTCATCTCTGATGTCAGAAGCCTGCCCTCCACTGCCCTCTTGTGTCCTTGAGTTAGAAAAAACAGGAACATGAAGGGGAAACTGGGAGCTCTCTTTTGCACTGTGCTTCCCCTGAATAGAGGTAGGGAAAAACGGAGTAGATTAAAAAAAGGTTACATCCATTGAAACAAATTTCTTCCCAAATACTGGATCATATCATTTGTAACCTTTTTGAGTTGAAGGATAGCTAAGAGAAATACATTTTATGGATTTGGGGTCCAACTTTGTATGATCTGAACCAAGGACATGCGCGAAGCAAACGCAACCAAAGACCTTAAGATGAACACTAAAATGTGGACGATCTAGATGGATAAGTTTATAGGGTGATCTATAGTCTAAAACACAAGTGGGCATTCGATTGATGAGATTGGCTGCTGTAAACACAATTTCAGACCAATACTTCTTGGGTACATTCTTACTCAAGAGAAGAGCAAGGCTCACTTCTAAGAGATGTCTATTCTTCCTTTCTTCCACCCATTTTGATGTGGGGTATATGAGCAAGAATTTTGATGTTCTATGCCTTGTTCTTGAATAGGACATTAGCTCTCCATTGCAATACTCTCAACCTTGATCTAACCTAAGTACCTTAATTTTAGTGTCAAACTGAGTATCAATCAACTTATGAAAGACCTTAAAGATTTTAGAAACTTCGTGTTTGGTCTTCATAAGATAGATACCTATACACCGAGAGCGATCATCCACAAAAGAAACAAAATATCGATAACCAAATATAGAAGTCAAAGGAGATGGATCCCACACATCTGAATGAACATTACTAAAAGGAACAATACTTTTTATTATTACTGGGTAAAAAAGAGTTCTACAATGTTTTGAAAGTTCACAAACTTCACATTGAAGAGACAAATGACCAAGTCAGATATGCCACTGCCAAATCTTATCTTTATTAACAGTACTACGGGATTAAAGGACTTGAGTAGTAGTAGTTGGCGGGTCAAGAATGTAGAGACCACCATCTTCATGACCACTGCCAATCATATTCCTTGTATCCAGGTCTTGGAAAATACAATGATAAAGAAAGAAGGTTACATTGCAATTTAGACTCTGGGTAGTACTATTAACAAACATTAGATTGATATGAAAGCTAGGAACATGAAGAAATGCAATTGAGGTGAAATATTTATGGTTCCTTTTGTTGGGTTTTACAGTCTTTAAAGGCATAGAGAGCTTGTAAATATGATATTTTATAATGGAATATGCACTTCAATGGGAGTATGTGTGTTGACTGTCCAAGGGTTGGGTGGTTTATTGCTCTAGTCATTTTCAAAAGCTTACCCTTGGGCATGTGGCAGTATTGAAAAGAGTTTACAGTAGGTCATCCCTTGTTGAGGTCAGAGAGATGCCCATGGATGATGTTTGTAGACCAAGAGAATTGTGTGATCTCCTGTGTGTGGCTGTAGACTTATGAGAGCAAGGCCAAAGCCTCAACGAACTTCCGCACGACGTGTATACATGACAATTGCATTATTGGGTAGCAGCCCTATAGAGGAACACGTGTACATGTGCATAGAGAGAGCCTCTTTTGCACTGTAATGATAAGTACTAGACTCGCTCTTAAAGGGGAGGGGAACCGAAATCCACATTCCAGGATCATGGTCCCACTTATAGTTACTGGGATATCCTACTTTGGTAGATGATCCCTTCTAGGATCTCAATTCTGTTGCTCTCGGAACGGATCTCTCAAGGATCTCAAGTTTTAAATTTTGGGATCTCGAATTCCACTCATAGGGATCCCCATTCTTATTGCTGGGGATCTCGATTCCAACTTTAAAGACCAAGACAACAACCAAACTGATGATTTTCTTTGTTTATAGCCAACTAGCAACACAACTATTGCTTGTTTGCTATCAATAATGAGATCCGTACTTTAAAGAGTATAAATAATCTTAGATTATCATACACTTTAAGGATGGAAAAAAGATACCCAAAAACGTTGGGATCAAGATCCCAAAAGGTCGGGATTAAGATCCCCAAAAGGTCGGGATTAAGATCCCCAAAAGGTTAAAATCTTGATCCTGACATTTGCGGATCTCAATCCTTAACATGTGCATTGTATGGACGGCATTGCAACCATAGGGATCTACTGGCATTTCATGATTCCTCGCTCCCGATCCCGATCCTGATACCGTTCCTGCTCTCGATCTCAACAACTATGGTCCTACTATTTATTGCTCAACTTTGAAAAGTCAATCATGAGCCCCTGTAATGAGATTTTGGGTCATGGGTTTTTGTTGGATTTGATAAACAAAACAATGGTGGATCATGGTTATTGGGGAAAATAGATTGCCTTTATTGTTGCTATTTTTGACTCATTGGTACTAGTCCACTCTTAGTATATTTTATTTTGGTACTAGAAATGTTTTTATGATTTTTAAATATTTTTTCAGAATTTTAAAATGTTATTTTTGCTAAAAATACATTAATAAGGGCATTTATGAAATTTTCAGAACTTAAGAGGGGACACGTGGGACCAAGGATCCAGCCCCACATGTGTGTGTGCAT